CCTGCCGCCGCCGCCGCTGAGGAGGCTGGGAACGGCGGGGACCATAGAGCGCAGGAGGTGCCGCGGCCAGACACGCCCCAGCGCGGCGGAGCGGAAGTGGGAAGCGGCCACCCCCGGAAGTAGAGCGGCCCCTTCCGCCGGAACTAACGGCGCGGCAGGGAGAGGCCGCGGGGAGGGGACCGGGGCCTCCCGCACCATAGAGCGGCGGAGAGAGAGGCTGCTCCCGTCCCCCACCGGCTCCAGAGAGAGGGGGCGGGGCCTGGCGGTCGCCATGGCGGCGGGGCCTGTGCGGCTCAGGCTGCTCCCGGGCGGCCCCGCCGGTGCCGGACCCCGGAGCCCCCCGTGGAACCAGGCCCGAGCGCCGCATCCCCGCCCTCCCCCTCGCCGGTTCCCCCGGGGGATGTCAAAGCCTCCCGGGCTGGGTCTGCCCCGCCGCCCGGCACCGGGCGCGCTCCCTCCGAGAATCCCCGCGGCTGGGTCCCCTCTCCGCTCCCCGCCCGGGCTGCCCGGCCTCTCCCGGTGCCCGGCCCGTGGCACCATCTAGTGGCACCGCGTGGCCCGGCCGGACCAAGGGAAGCCTCGGGGCGCGGGTCAGCCCCGGCCGGCCCCGCCGGTTCTCCCGGCCCCGAGGGCCAGATGTGTCACGGGCAGGGGCAGCCCCGGCCGGGAGCCAGCCCGGCGCTCAGGCCCGGCCCGCGGCGCCGCCGGGGATGGAGCCGGCAGCCCCGGTGATGCTGCTGGGCGGCGTGGTCCCGTCCCCCCGCCCCAGGTGCTCCCGGCCGCGGTCCTGCGCGGGAGAGCAGCCGGTGGCCCCGCAGTGGCTGGGAAGGCGGCAGCCGGCGGGACGGGAGCTGCTCCGTCCTTCCCCCGGGGCTGGCAGGGAGCTTCGGCCAGAAGGAGCCCCCTGACGCGGATCTGAGGAGCTCCGGGGAAGCGGCTGCTCCATGGCTCCGGCCCCGGGGTGGTGGCTGGTGACCGGGGGTTTCAGGAGGAACTGGTCCCCCCACGCCGCCGCGTTGCCGGGCCGTGACCTCCTGTGGCATCAGCACCGACCCTGGCTGGGAGCGGCAGCCGGGACCGAGAGCCGAGGCGTGGAGCTGGTTTCTGTCACCACAGGACAGCGACCCCGCAGGAGGAGGAATGAGAGGGGTCTGGTCCCCAGGTGGGGGGCAGAGGAAGGGGGAAGGGGAGGAGAGGGGACGGCAGCCATCAGCAGGGACACCTTTTCCCCCACACCCCCTCAGGACCAGGAGCCCCAGGCTTGGCCACCATCCCTGTCCCCTCCTGGGGTGAAGGCATTTGGTCCCCCCGGGGGCTCCCAAGCGGGGCTTCTGGGAGGGTTTGGGGGTGCAGGGCTGTGCGGGTTGGCACAGACACCCACCTCTTTGGAGAGGGCTAGGCTGGGGGGGAGGACCCCCCCTTCCCTGGGCACCACCACCCTCAGCATGCAGTGAGCCTGTCCCTGCCCAGGGCTGGGTGGGGAGTAAGTGGATGTGGCTGAGCAGGGACAGCCCCCCGTGACCCCTGCTGTGCCCGGGATGCTGCCCCAGGACCCCCTTCCTCCTGCTTCTCTCCTGCAGGCAGCGTCTGGCCCACAAAGGGTTACGCAAGGCACCCTGGAGTGACACCACTGCCACCAGCCCGGGAGCTCAGCTCCTTCCTGGTCCGATACCTATCGGAGGCTCGGTGAGTGCCTGACCCTGTCCCCCCGTCCCTGCTTCCCATTTGGGGATGGGGACCCAGCCCTGCTTTCCCCTGGGGAACCGGCCATGCTTTGTCCCTCTCTGGGTGGCCCCAGGACCCGGTGGCCCTGCTGGTGTCCTGCCCTGATGGTGGGAAGATACTCGGGGAGGGGCGGGGGGGCATCCTGGCACCCTGATGGTGCAGCTCTGTGCCCCGAGGGCTGGAGGATGTGCCTCCATCCTACTGATTTACAGTCTAGTTGGGTCAGACCTTCCAGAGACCCTTTTCCCAGAGCAGGGGGTTCAGGATCAGCCCATCGCGGTGTGGGTGGGGTTGGGGTAGAGGAGTTTCTGGGGGGGTCCTGCACGGCCACTGCTGGACGAGGGACGAGCGGTTTTGCAGCACTGGCTGAGACCAGAGACCCCACTGATCCCAGGAAGGCTTTGGGGTCCCAGGTTGAGGACACCCATCAGTCGGGAGGTTGGGAAACAGGTTCTGGGTTGTTGTGGTTGTAACGACCATGGATATAACAGGTTATGGCCGTGGGGCAAGGCTGGGGTGGGCAGGGTGTGTCACTCTCCCATAAATAACCCCCACCCATTGCTGTCCCCATGGTGGGTGTTGCTGATGGTGTCACGGGGGGCCAGGCATGGCCCCACGTTGGGGACGTTGCAGTGGGATGAGCTGCCCCGGTGCAGCCCGGGCTTTCTTTGGCATTAAAATCCCTGGAGATACCGGCCCCGGTGCGTGCGTGGGGCAGAGTGGGGTGTGTGGGGCTCCCGGTGCTGCTGGTGCCCGGTGCGGGGCGCGGTGGGCTGGGCCGTGGTCAGCTCTGCCCAGATACTGCCTCTCCCGGCGGGGCCATTTCGGGTGCGGGCTGGTTTCTGTCGGAAACCGGCCGAGCCGGCTCCTCCAGCTGCCAGCCTTGGCCTTTGGCTGGGGGCAGGCCCTCCGCCAGGTGCCCGGGGGGAGACTGGGGACACGACCAGGGATTGGTGACACCCTGGGTGTTCCCTGTGCCGCCTGGTGAGACAGGAGCTCCTGCCATCCTCCTGCTGTCCCCCTGTCCTCAGCCTGGCCCTGCCCATGGCGAGCCGCGGGTGGCAGCGGGATGCAGGTGCGTGGCTGATTCGTGGCGTCCCGGTGATGGGACAGCAGCGGAAGCTGGTTGGGGACAGTGAGGGGCTGTGCTGGGTGGCAGCAGGACTGGCTCTGGCACTGCAGATGAGCCAGCAGCCTGTGGAAGGGGATGCTCTGGACCCCCACGATGGGGGTCCCTTGGACCTGTGGCTCCCGCTGTGTCACCTGTGGGTGTCCAGGGAGCCTGTGAGCACTGACCGGCCGACGCTGGTGACACGGCTGAGAGAGGACCCGCCGGTTCAGCTCATTTTGGGGAAACCCCCCCACTGCCATGCTGGGATCTCCTGTGTGTTACTGGTCTTAGAAGCACCGGGACAGGACCACGGGTGTCACCACTCCGGGGTCCTGTGCAGCCCCAGCCACCCCCTGGGCACACGCTGCTTTGGGCGCCTGATGACGCAGAGCGGAAACCCCGGACTCTGCCCTCGGCACCCGCCGGCCTCAGCCCGCCCGGCGGGGGATGTTTCTGAGCCCTGGGTCAATGATTACACCGACCCTCCCGGGGGCTGGGTCTCGTTTCGGGGTCCTGGCTGGCGGCTTTGGTGTGGCCCCAGCGGGGGACTGGCCACAGGAAGCCCCTGTGCTGGCCCTGAGCCACCATGGTTGCCCCGGGGCTGGCTGCCCACCGCTGGCCCCAGCTTCCTCACGGGATCCCAGCTCGGCATCGCCCGTGGCATTGCCCACGGGGTGTCAGGCTCGTCTCTGGTACCCCCCCGTCCCACCGAAGCTGCCCCGTGGCTGATTCCCAAAGGGGCTGTGGCAGTTTCCAGCTTCCCGTGGCACCAATCGGGAGCCTGGGGCCTGGCTTGGGGGTGGCCGAGCCGTGGGGGGGACCCAGCACAGCCCCCAGCACGTCCCGGAGCCCTCAGGCACCACCGGACAGGGTGCTCGGGCAGCGGGGCCAGGACCAGGGGCTGTGGCCATGGCAGAGCCATTGGCCAATCAGAGACCCCAGAGATCTGCTGTGGCAGAGCCATTGGCCAATCAGAGACCTGGGAGATCTGCTGTGCAGAGTCATTGGTCAATCAGAAACCCCAGAGATCTGCTCAGAAACCCCAATGGCAGAGCCATTGGCCAATCAGAGACCTGGGAGATCTGCTGTGCAGAGTCATTGGTCAATCAGAAACCCCAGAGATCTGCTGCAGCAGAGCCATTGGCCAATCAGAGACCTGGGACATCTGCTGTGGCAGAGCCATTGGCCAATCAGATCCTGGAGAGACTTGTCACAATACAGATAACCAGCCAATCCGAATCCAGAGATGTGCCACAGCAGCTGTTGGCCAATCAGAGACCAGAGAGATGAACTATGGTAGAGCAGTGGAGCAATCAGTGCCTGGAGAGACCAGTGGTGGCAGAGCCATCGGCCAATGGGATCTCAGGGTCCTGCTGGAGCAGAGCTGTCAGCCAATCAGTGCCAGGGGAAAGCGCTGTCAGCCAATCAGTGCCAGGGATAGCGCTGTCGGCCAATCAGCACTGGGCAGATCTCCAGCCCTGGCGGTGCCCCCCAGGCCCATGATGGCCCATGCCTGTGCCATGGCCGTGGGTGGGACCCGGCCGGGGGCAGCCAGCGGGACGGGGGACGTTTTGGCAGGGGATGGGTGTGGGTCTGTCCTCGTCCGTCCCTGTGCCAGTCGAAGGGGTGAGGACCCGTTGGTGGTGGTGGCATCGTGCCAGGCTGTCGGTCTTCACGTCCCCATCCCCCTGGAGAACGGGTTGATCCTTGCACCGGGTTTTCCTTGGTGTGGGTGATGGTGCGGATAAACCTTGGGCTCCCTGATCAAACTGGGTCATAGAATCATAGAATCATTGAGGTTGGAAGAGACCCTTGGGAGCATCGATGCCAACCATCTCCCCTACTCTACAAAGTCCTCCCCTACACCATGTCCCTCAGCACTGCATCTAAATGGCCCTTAAACACAGCCAGGGATGGGGACTCCACCCCCTCCTTGCACAGCCTGTTCCAATGCCCGACCACTCTTTGGGTGAAAAATTCCTTCCTAATGTTCAATCTAACCCTCCCCTGTTGGAGCTTGAAGCCATTCCCTCTCGTTCTGTCACTAATTACCTGGGAGAAGAGACCAGCACCAACCTCTCTACAGTGTCCTTTCAAGTAGTTGTAGAGGGTGATGAGGTCTCCCCTCAGCCTCCTCTTCCTCACACTAAACAGCCCCAGCTCCTTCAGCCGCTCTTCATATGATTTGTTTTCCAGCCCCCTCCCCAGCTTCGTTGCCCTCCTCTGCACTCGCTCCAGCACCTCGAGATCTCTCTTGGATTGAGGTGCCCAAAACTGGACACAACACTCGAGCTGTGGCCTCCCCAGTGCCGAGTACAGGGGCACAATCACCTCCCTACTTCTGCTGGTCACACTATTTTTGATACAAGCCAGGATGCCATTGGCTTTCTTGCCCCCCCTGGGCGCACGGCCGGCTCATATTCAGCTGTTTATCAATTAGAACCCCCAGGTCTCTTTCTTCCAGGCAGCTCCAGCCACACTTCCCCCAGCCTGTAGCGCTGCAGGGGGTTGTTGTGGTCCTTCCCGTCCCACCCCATGTGGGGAGTCGTGGGAGGCTCTGCGCCCCCTGACCCCTGCATCTCTCCAGGTTCACGCCAAGGTTTCCTCTGGGGGGGCAGGAGCTGGTGGAGGTGCTCCCCATGCCCGGCCCGGGCATTTGAGCCCAGGTGGGACATCGCCCTGCCGGTCAGGCTTATCTGTCCTCGGTGGAAAATGTTGGATTTGGGGGCGGAAACATAGGAAAACCGAAGGGTGCTGCTGGGCCACTGGTGCTGCTGAAGCGGTTGGCAGAGCTGCCAGCAGTGCCATCGTGCTGGAACCCAGAATGGGAGGTGGGAGGGCACCGAAGCAGCACCCCGGGGTCTGCGGGCTCCCAGGAGGAGGGAGGGGAGCGGGGCCACCAGGACATGTGGGCAGGTGGTCCCAGCCGTGGCGATGGGTCTTCATTTGCTTGCCCTGTGTAAAACCTCCCCTTCTGTGGACGTGCATCCAAGGGGATGGAATGGACATTGTCCCCCTGTACTGGGCACTGGTGAGGCCTCACCTTGAGTACTGTGTCCAGTTTTGGGCCCCCTACCATAAAAAAGACATTGAGGTGCTGGAGCGGGTCCAGAGAAGGGCGACAAAGCTGGTGAGGGGTCTGGAGAATAAGTCTTGTGAGGAGAGGCTGAGGGAGCTGAGGGTGTTCAGCCTGGAGAAGAGGAGGCTGAGGGGAGACCTTCTTGCTCTCTCCAACTCCCTGAAAGGAGGGTGTAGCCAGGGGGGGTCGGTCTCTTTTCTTAAGTCACAGGTGACAGGACAAGAGGAAATGGCCTCAAGTTACACCAGGGGAGGTTCAGGCTGGATATTAGGAAAAATTTTTTCACTGAAAGGGTTCTCAGCCATTGGAATGGGCTGCCCAGGGAGGTGGTTGAGGCCCCATCCCTGGAGGTGTTCAAAAGACAGGTTGATGTGGTGCTGGGAGGTCTGGTTTAGTGATGATGCTCCTTGTTTGTTGTGGGGGTGTCTATTTTTGTCAGTGAGGTTGACGGTTGGACAAGATGATCTTTAAGGTCCCTTCCAACCTAGAAGATTCTGTGATTCTGTGACATCCCGAGGGGGACATTTCATGCTGCACGGAGGCAGCTCTGGGTTTCGGAGCCAGCTCCCACGTAGGGTTAGCTGGGGTGTGACACACCTGTGGGTCCTGGTGCCCCCGGGCACCATGGTGGGTCTGTCCCCTGCACCCTCATGGACCCCAGTGCCCATGGCTCAGCTTTGCTCCTGTTCTTCCCTGCAGCCTGAAGCGGGGCTGAGGAAGGGGCCAGCGGCTGCGAAGAGGAGCCGGAGCCGGTCTGCACCCCCGGCTGCTGGGCAGGGGCCGCCGCGCCTGCCGGCTGCCACCGCCGCCTCCCCGCGCTTGCGCTGGCGGGTGCCCACCATGGAGGAGATGCTGATCTGGGAGCAGCACACGGTGACGCTGAGCAAGGTGAGCATGGCCCAGGGTGGCCGCCGGAGGGGTTGTGGGGCCGGCTTTGCCTGACTCCTCTCTGCCCATTCCCGCTAGGACCCGCACCGGGGCTTTGGCTTCGCCGTCTCCGGCGGCCGGGACCGTCCCAACAGGGTGACCGGGGACACGGCGGTGATCGTTTCGGACGTGGTGGCCGGGGGACCGGCCATGGGACGGCTCCAGTGAGTGTGAGGGGACATGGGGACACGGGTGCCAGCGGGGACAGGAAGGGCAGCAAATCGCTCCTGCTAGGACAGGGCCAGCCTGGCTGCCCCCGGCCCGGCTGGGATGGGGTCCTCCTGGGGCAATGGCTGCCCCCATCACCCCACCAGCTCCCTGGGTTTGGGGGCTCCCTGGGGCAGAGCCAAGGCTGCATTTCCTCCCCCAGGAAGAAGGATCACATCGTGATGGTGAATGGCCTTTCCATGGAGAATGTCTCGTCCTCCTTTGCCATCCAGACACTGAAAACCTGTGGCAAGATTGCCAACATCGTGAGTGAGCCCTGCAGTGGGACGGGGGCTGGCACCGTGCCTGTCCCCATCCTCCTCCCGTGTCCCACACACTCCAGAGTTCCTCTTTGGAGCTTGGAAATTGCTGTAGAAACATTTCGTGGCAGAGGCAGCTGCACCCACCACCCTCTCCTTTTCGCTTTCCACCTGCAGACGCTGAAAAGATGCTGTAGAAACATTTCCTGGCAGAGGCAGCTGCACCCACCACCCTCTCCTTTTCGCTTTCCACCTGCAGACGCTGAAAAGACCAAAGAAGGTCCATGTCCCCGTGAGCAAGAGCAGCCCCGGGTCCCCCACCGTGCCCCAGCGCTATGACTCGGACGAGGACGGTGCGCAGCCGGCCCTGCACCGCTCCCGGGATGACCTGGACCACAGCCGGGGCTACGACGGGGACTCATCCAGCGAGAGAAGCTCTGGCCACCACCGGGATGACCACCGCCACCACAAGGCAGTGTCCCGGAGCCGGAGGCGAAGCCAGGACAGCAGCCACTGGAGGCAGAGCCCTGGCAGTGGCTCTGATCACAGGGGCTACAGCCGCCACCGCTCCACCAATGGCTTCAGCCACGACGAGGACACCAATGGGCTGGCCCTGGTGTCGGGCTTCAAGCGGTTGCCACGCCAGGATGTGCTGATGAAGCCCATCACATCAGTCCTGGTGAAGCAGAAGCAGAATGAAGGTGAGGCCCTCCTGCTCCCCCTGTCCCCCGGTCTTGTCACCCAGTTTGTGGCTGTGCATCCCCCCGGGGCAGAGGCGATGCCAGGGCTGGTGCCAGGGTTTGGTGCCGTGCTGGGTGCATCAAACCTGCCTGGCCTCAGCCTGGGGCTGCAGAGCTCAGCTTTGGGGTTGGCTAGTGCCATGCTCCAAGGGGAGCTGGGGCAGGATGGTGGGGATGGTGGCAATGGGGGACCTCAAGGTCTTGCATCTGCCTGGCTCCGGTACCATTGTGGGCTCTCTCTGGTGCAGAGTATGGCCTGAAGCTGGGGAGTCAGCTCTTCATCAAGCACATAGTGGAGAGCGGGCTGGCGGCGAAGGGCAGCTCTTTGCAGGAGGGAGACCTCATCCTGAAGGTACGGGGGCTCGTGGGGCTCACAGCACTTGCTGGGGGGGCTCATCTCCCCTCTTCCAGTGGCTCATCCCTGGCCAGTGTCACCACAAGGTGCTTCTTCGGCTGCCTGCAAAGGATGCAGCTTGGTTGGAGGGAGCACCCTGCCTGCCTGCACCCTGCCCTGGCTCCCCAGCTGTCCCCAGAGATGGCGTGGGGGCTCTTGGGGACCAGCTCCCCCCAGTACCAAAGCTGCCTGGTTGAGACAGCCCCACAGTGTTTAACTGGGGCCAGTGGCTTGTCCCACTGCCACAGCAGGATTCCATCTGCCCCGCTGTCCCCGTGGCGTGGGGTCACCTCCCACGAGCGCGTGTTCCTGCCGAGGGAGCAGTCGGCCCAAGGAGCTCTGGGGTGTTCGGGGCACGTCAGGTGAAATGATGCTTAAAGCATTTGGGGAAGGAGGAAATAAAGGAGGGAGAGGCTTCATTTGCACACATGGGCCAGGCCAACCTGTGGCTGCTGGGAACTGGGGCCAAAGTAACTCCGGGGGAAACGGGAGGGAGATTTCATCCCAGCAATCCGGTGGGAAGAGCTGCTGCACCGCAGGGAGATCCCAGACCCACCGTCTGCTGGGGGCCTGGCTCCCTGGCACCAGCCCAACGTGTGGAAGGACAGCGCTGGGCCGAGGTCAAAGTAAAACTCAGCTTCAGACAGCGTCTGGGGGGGTCTCTGCAGCTCCTGCTGCCCTGCAGGGCACCCCTGCAGCTAAAGGTGGGAGTTAATTAGCCTCGCTAATTTGTTTCCTCTCTGCAGGATGAGGCCCCAGTGGGAGGCAGCCGGGAACAGGGACACGGGCCAGGATGGGTGAAGCTGCAGGAGCTGGGGCTGGGCTGGAGGGGCTGGGAGGGGACGGGGAAGGTGGCAGTAGGAGGATCCCAGCCGAGCGGGGCTTTCCTGGGGGCAGCTTTCCCAGAAGCAGGCACCCTGAGGCCTCCCACTCTGCTGCCTCCAGATCAACGGGGTGGCCAGCGAGGACATGTCCCTGGCTGAAACCCAGCAGCTCATCGAGCGGACAGAGGGAGTCCTGACCCTGCTTGTGCTCCGGGACCACCGGCAGTTCCTGGTCAACATCCCTGACGTAGAAGAAAGCCAGAGTGACAGTTCCCGGATGGATGGTGAGGGGACACGGTGATGGGGCTGGGCACACAGCACAGGCACTGGGTGGTCACTAATGCATCTTCCCTCCTGCAGACATCTCTGACATCGACTCTGAACTGTCCCATCCACCATCCCCTGAGACCTCCCCACGACTTCCAGCTGCTGCCAGGATGAATTCACCACCGTAAGCCCCGCTCTGTCCCCACGAGCCCCTCTTTCCCCTGTCACATTCCCTGGATCCTCCATGTTCTCTGCCTTTGTGGAGGGGCTGGTTCTCCTCCATCCCAGAGCCAGTTCACTCTGGAGGTGGGACTGCCATTCAGTCCCCAGCTTGCTCCACTGTCCCCGCTGCCCTCTTGGCACTATCTGTCCCTCCCTGTCCATCCAGTGCCTGCCTCTGTGACCTGCCTAAATACTGCCCCAACTTTGTTCCAGGGAGAGGAGACGATTGACCAGGGACCCTGTGGCTGACACAGCCATGGACGAAGCTCGGGGCCCTGGTGAGTGAGCTCGGGGGGCAGTTAAGGGCGTCGAGCAGGCTCTGGGCTCCTGCGTGTCTCTGCTGTCCCAATCCCCCTGGCAGAGCTGTGCCAGGTCTCCCTGTGCCACGGCTGCCCCGGCAGCGGCGCAGCCACCACCGCCTCCTGGACCAGCCCTTCTTCCCTGCAGACCTACTGGAAGCTGTGGAGGGGGGTGGCCACCAAGGACCCCACGCCAGCCCCACCGCCCGAGCTGCCCGCAAGGATGGGTACGTCTGCGAGAGGTGGTGGAGAAAGGCTGGGGGAGATGGGGAGCTGCTGCAGTGCAGGGCTGGGGTCACAAGGCTGGTGACCCTCTGTGCTGTCCCTGGCGTGTCACTGCTGGGTCCGACCGTGGCTTTCCCCGTGGCAGGTACAGCGCCGACTCCAGGGTCGTGCAGTTTGTGAAGGCCAAGAGCGTGGGGCTGCGGCTGGCCGGGGGGAACGACGTGGGCATCTTCGTGTCGAGCGTGCAGGAGGGGAGCCCGGCCGACAGCCAGGGCGTGCGGGAAGGGGACCAGATCCTGCAGGTACCCGGGGCTGGGGACGGCTCCAAACGCTGCTGCACCCGGACAGGCCCCGTCCCTCTTGGGGATCCCCTGGGGTCTCTGCTGGGCATCGTTTTGGGTCAGTGCTGGGCCCGTGGGCCGAAGCCATTAGGTTGGCTCCAAGGGGGACGCTCCTGTCTCCAGCACCTTGCTAACACCCAGCGGGGTCCAGGCACCACCTCAGCTGGCCCAGAGGCCCTCCCCAGGGCCACTAGTGGTTGTGGCAGGCACTTGGGTCACAGGGAGCAGTTCCCTCTCCCACCCTGCCATGGGCACTGCTGTCCCTGGGACCCCCACTGGGACCTGCACCCTCTGTCTTGCTGGCAGGGCCGTGTCTAAGTGCGTTTCTGTGGCAGGTGAATGACACCAGCTTCCAGAACCTGACCCGTGAGGAGGCTGTGGAGTTCCTCATGAAGCTGCCGCCGGGCGAGGACATCACGCTGTGGACCCAGAGCAAGCAGGACAGTGAGTGACGACCAGTCCCATCCCAGGCTTGTGCCTCTCCATCCTCTGTGGATCACAGCTGCTGGACTTGCCACAGCTCTTTCTGCCCCCACAGGGGGGGTCTTTCTTCCCTGCACCCCCCTTTGCCCCCTCTCCCAGAGAAGTGGTGGGAGGAGACCAGACCATCCTGGCCCTGTTTATGCCTTGCCCTCTGTCCCCTTTCCCAGAGAGGTGGTGGGAGGAGACCAGACCATCCTGGCCCTGTTTATGCCTTGTCCTCCTGGAGCACGGGGGCTTCCTGGCACCGTGGCTCAGCCTGGAGAGGCCAGTGTGTGTGGGGGGGTCAGGTCCTGCCTGAGAGCATCACAGGGTTCCCAGCGCCCTCCTTAGCAGCCAAGGATACTCTGGAGGCTCCCGGCCCAGCCCAGCTCCTTCCCAAATCTCTGCAGCATCTTCCTCCTCAGCCACCTCTTCCCCTGATGATCCCTCTCACCCTGGGCTCCAGTTTACAGGAAGATGATCTCGTCCAACGTGGGTGACTCATTCTACATCCGGACGCACTTTGACTTCGAGAAGGACACGCCGTCGGGGCTCAGCTTTGTCCGCGGGGACGTGTTCCACGTGCTGGACACCATGTACCGGGGCAGGCTGGGGAGCTGGCTGGCCGTGCGCATGGGCAGGGACCTGCAGGAGCAGGACAAGGGCATCATCCCCAACCGGAGCAGGTAGGGCTAGAGCCAGGGGATGGCTTCCCAGCGGGATGGGGACAGGGATGGTGGGCCCAGTAAGAGGCAGAGCGAGGGCCGATGGAGCACTGGTGGGACGTGTGAGCTGGTGAAACCCCCTCTGAGGGGTGATGGAGCAGTTGATGCTCTGGTTGTCCAAGGTCCCAGAGGGAAAAGGCTACCACAGCCTCATCTGGCTGTGTCCCCAAGCATGGAGGCTGGCCTTTCCTGCTTTGCTCCTCAGAGTGGGGGTAAATCCAGAGGGTCCATGTGCTGAGCTCTTTTCCCTCCCAGGGCCGAGCAGATCGCCAGCCTGGAGTCGGTGCTGAAAGCCACGTCTGGTGCCAACCCCTCTGGGGCACGGGCTGAGTTTTGGAAGCTGCGGGGCCTGCGAGGTGCCAAGAAGATGCTGCGGAAGAGCCGGGAGGACCTGTCTGCCCTCACAAAGCAGGGCCACTACCCGCCGTATGAGAGGGTGGTCCTGAAGGAAGGTGGGTACCAGGGCTGTGTCCCCAGTCACCCAGACCCACCCAGGGGACATCGGCCCCAGAGCTGCTCCACTGCAGGTGCTACTGCGCTCCACTCTCCTGGGAAGAGTGAGGCAGGTCACAGGCCCATGGGCACCTCGAGGAGTGGGGCTGGACCCCTGGGTGCTGGGAGCTCTGCCCTCACGCCCAGGCTCTCTGAGCCGGTCTGTTTTCTCCCCACAGCCAGCTTCAAGCGGCCGGTGGTGATCCTGGGCCCCATCGCAGACATTGCCATGCAGAAGCTGAGCACAGAGATGCCCGAGCAGTTCGAGATTGCCCGTAAGTGCCCCCCACGCTGGGCAGAGACCACATCCAGCTGCCAGACCCTCAGCATCCAGGGCTGTGGGAGCTCTTTACCCGTGACTGTCCCAATCCTGCCTCCTTGCCCCCTCCCCGTGACACTCCAACACCTTCCTGGACTCAGTCACCCTCCCCATGCCCCAGACATCCCTGCCTTGAGGAACACAGCCCCGGGACAGGGTTCAGGCAGACCCAGCCTGGGGGAGATGCCACGTCTCCCCCAGCCCTTCTCACACCATGTCCCCATGTCCTGCAGCGAGCGTGGCCCGAGATGGTGCTTCATCCAAGGTCATCAAGTTGGACGCGGTGCGGCAAATCGCAGAAAAGGTGAGAGACCTTCCCCGTGGTCTCGGAGCCGGGTGGGCCAGGGCCTGGCGGGGAGCCCACAGCCTCCATCCCTGTCCCCAGTGGGGCTGATGGCCGTGCCCTGCCCCAGAACAAGCATGCCCTGTTGGACATCACGCCCTCGGCTGTGGAGCGCCTCAACTACGTGCAGTACTACCCCGTGGTGGTGTTTTGTGAGCCTGAGAGCCGGCAAGGCATCAAGGCCATGCGGCAGTGGCTGGCGCCCGACTCTAGGAAGAGCTCCCGGCGCCTCTACGCCCAGGCCAACAAGATGAAGAAGTACTGCAGCCACCTCTTCACTGCCACCGTCAGCCTCAGCGGCAGCAGCAACACCTGGTACCAGGCGATCAAGGACATCATCAGGATGCAGCAGAGCCAGCCCATTTGGACGACGGCGGAGCAGGTATGGGGCACAGGGTCCCTGCAGCACGGCTCAGCCCGCCGGGGCTGCAGCCAGGTGGGGGACAGGGCTACGCACCCACCCCTCTCCCCCAACATGAGGTTCCTGCCCCACAGGCAGACGTGGCGCTGGAGGACAGTCTGGACCTGCTGAACCCACCGAGCGCGGCGGCCTCGGGCTACCTGACCTGCGACAGCCGCGCCAACAGCGACTACGACACGGACGGCGAGACGGGCGCCTACACCGACGGCGAGGCGGAGGACGCCTACGACCAGCCCGGGCTGGCCCGCTCCTCTGAGCCAGTGCAGGTGTCACCGAGCCACGGTCTGAGCGAGCAGGTGGGTCCCCCATACTGGTACGAGGGGCTGACAGGACAGAAGGGGTGGCACAGTGCCTGCCTGTGGGGACTAATTCCTGTCCCCTGTGGCACAGGCAGGGTGTCACCTCCAGCTGCCACAGGGTCCAGCTGTGCATCCATGCCCAGCTCTGGTCTCCCCAAGGCGGGACACAGCCCAGTCCTAGGCTGGGGCACAAATCCTGCCCCTACCTCTGACTCTTCTGTCTTTCTGGTCTTTCACAGGCGACCGAGCAGCAGTGGCAGGGCCGGCAGAGCCAGCGCCACGACAACATCAGGTACCCTGTGTGCCAGGGCCAGCTGGGGTTCAAGCAGCCAGCCCTGGGGCTGGGGCTGGGCCTGCAGAGGCTTCGGTGCCAGCTTTGCCTGGCCTGACCTCCCCCCCCCCGCCACCCCATCCCAATCAGGTGGGAGAGACATCACTGTGGCTTCTCGTCCCCCAGGGAATACGAGCACGATGCTGTGAGGAAGAGGTTCACACGGGCCAGGGATGACTCGGACCAGGACGAAGGCTACGAGTGGGGCCCAGCCACAGATGTGTAGCAGCACTGCTGGCCCCCATCCCACTGGGCAGCCGGCCACCTCGGGCCAGCCAGCTTTGCCTGGCCTGACCTCCCCCCCCCGCCACCCCATCCCAATCAGGTGGGAGAGACATCACTGTGGCTTCTCGTCCCCCAGGGAATACGAGCACGATGCTGTGAGGAAGAGGTTCACACGGGCCAGGGATGACTCGGACCAGGACGAAGGCTACGAGTGGGGCCCAGCCACAGATGTGTAGCAGCACTGCTGGCCCCCATCCCACTGGGCAGCCGGCCACCTCGGGCCAGCCCTGCTGCAGCCCCACGCCACCGGGTCCACCTGACAGTCCGGGTAGTGCCACGCAGCACCCCCCGGCCAGGCTGGGCCTAAATCCTGCCGTACCCCTCACCACCAAGTGCCTCCTTCCCCCTTTTGGCCACAGCCTCTGCTGCTGGAATAAAAGGAATGTTTTGATCAGGTGGGGCCATTTCCGTGCGCGCTGGGTGGCAGCACACTGGGGAGCCCCGTGCAGCCGGGGGGCCTTGCTGGATGCAGCCAGACACCCTGCCTGCCCCCAGAGGCATTGGTGCAGGGATCAGGCTTGGATTGTGCCAACGTCTGGCACTGCAGCAGGCTCAGGGTGCGTGGCTCAGAGCTGAGCCCCCTCTGAATTTCACTGAATTTTTAGAGTTGGAAGGGACCATAGAGATCATCTAGTCCAACTCCCCTGCTGAAGCAGGACCACCCAGAGCTTGTCAGAGCATGTTACTCAGGAGCATCCAGGCGGGGCTTGAAAATCTCCAAAGAAGGGGACTCCACACCCTCCCTGGGCAGCCTGTTCCAGGGCTCTGCCACCCTCACCGTGAAAAAGTTCTTCCTCATATTCAAGTGGGACCCTTTATGTTCCAACTTGTGCCCGTTGCCCCTCGTCCTCTCACTGGGAACCACTGAAAAGAGTCTGGTTCCCTCCTCCCTCAGCCCGCCCTTGAGATACTTGTCAGCATTAATAAGGTCTCCCCTCAGCCTTCTCTTCTCCAGACTAAAGAGTCCCAGCTCTCTCAGTCTCTCCTCATAAGGGAGATGCTCCAATCCTTGAATCATCTTTGTTGCCCTTCGCTGGACTCTCTCCAGCAGTTCCCTGTCTCTCTTGAACTGGGGAGCCCAGAACTGGACGCAGGATTCCAGTTGTGGCCTCCCCAGTGCAGAGCAGAGGGGGAGAATGACCTCCCTCCACCTCCTGGCCACACTCTTCCCTACGCAGCCCAGGATTCTGTTGGCCTTCCTGGCCACAAGAGCACACTGCTTGCTCATTGTCATTTTGTTGTCCACCAGGACCCCCAGATCCTTTTCTTCAGAGCTTGTCTCCAGCAGGTCCATGCCTAACATTCTTCTTCCCCAGGTGCAGGATCCTGCACTTTTCCCTGTTGAACCTCATGAGGTTCTTCCTTGCCCAGTTCTCTGCTGCAGCCCAGCCAGTGCTCCTCACACACAGCCTCCCGCGTTCCCTTAAACTTTTTATTTTTACATCAACCAAACACACAGGCCAAGTCAGGTCAGCGCTGCCTCAGCTGCTGGGGGCCAGAGACCCACTCATGAGAGGGTATCACCAGGGGCTGCTCCTTGGGGCTCACAACACCCTGCTCTCCTGGACGTGGGACTGGGCAGTGCCCTGTTCCCTTTTGCTGTGCCCAGGGACAGCCCCGAGGGCTGTGACCCAGGGGCCCGTTGTGCTGGGGCCGGGCTGTGCGTGTGGAGCAGTTAAAGGCAGCGGGAGGGAAAAGCAGAGGTAGTTTCCCAGCTCGGTGCAACAGGTCTAAGAGGGAGGTTGTTTGCACCCCCAACAGAGCCAGGGAGGAGTAGAAGCAGGTCTTAGGGGTGCTGCTGCCCGTAAGGCTGAGACTGGGAGCTGCTGGCTCTCCCTCAGGGGTGCCATTGTGCACCCACACACTGGGGTGCAGTGTCAGTGCTCCTCTGGGGCTGTGCTGGGGCGAGCCGTGCTTCCAGCACCATCCCCACATGGGGAAAGGCACCGTTGGTGAGTGTAAAAGCACTATCTGTGGTGACTGGATGGGGTGACCTTCCAGGCAGGGTCCCCTCTCCTCCTGCCAGCACCAGGCCAAGGCGAGGGAGCCTGTGGAGCGACAGGACAGGCACCGTGCACGCACTGTGAGGCAGGGAGGGGCGAGTGGAGGGGGAGGAGGTACCCAAACCGTGGCACCACAGGCCCTGACACTGCTCAAGGTGGGTATCAGATCCCCAGAGTCTCCCACTGTGTCCTGAGTAAAACAGAAGAGGTGCAGGATTAGGCCCTGCTGGGGACCAGAGGGCTGCGATGAGGGCTGGTGGCCCTGGGGTCACTCCTGCTGGCCCCCAGGCACCCCAGTGACAGCCAGGTCCAGCTGCAGCTCAGAGGAAGATGGGCTGCTCCTGCCCAGTGAGTAGGCGGTACGTGGAGGCCGGCATGGTCTTGATGTGGACCTAGACAGAGACACACACGTCAGCTGGGAGACCCCAGACCCCTGGCTGGAGGAGCTGGTGTGCGATGCCCCGCGTGCTCTGTGTGCCCTGGCTGTCCCCAGCCCGGCCCAGCTCACCTCGCTGACCGCCTGCGTCAGGATCTGGATGATCTTCTCGTGAGGTGTTGCCACCACGCTCTGCCCGTTGATCTCGATGATGCGGTGCCCCACGCGGATGCCGCCTCTCTCCGCGATGCCCCCACGCATCAGGCTGCAGATCTGGGGAGCAGGGAGGGCTGGTGAGATCCCAGCTGTGCCCCATGGCCCAGCGCCACGGGCAACCACCATCCCAAGCCCTCTCATCCGTGCAGGCTCCCAGCAAGAGCTCTGGACTTGGATGCTGTCTCCTCCAGCCCACGGGCACGCAGCCAGGGCAGGGACGTCCCTTTGTGTCGCTGCCAGCGGAGCGATGTGCTGAGCTGTAGGGCACAGGCAGCCCCCGGTGCTGTTCCCCAGCTGACAGAGAGCTCAGCTCCCTCCACCCACCCCACGAGCCCCCCTGCTCCCATCAAGCCTGGGCTGCAGAGCCCCAGCTTTTCCCTGGGGTGGCAGCTCCTGCGTGGGCGTGGGGTGACTGTGTCTCCAGCTGGGGAGCATCGGTCGGTGCGTGATGCGGCCGTGCCACCCCCTCCACAACCCACCCGCCCCATCAACGCCCACGGGTGCTGGAAATGCTCTTCTGCTTTGCCAGCACAGCCACTACAGAGCCAGAGCAGGGTGTGGCTGGGGCACTGGGGACAGCAACACGGCAGTAAGGTCACGCCAAGGAAGCCAAGATGAAACCACCACCCCAAAAGCAAACAGCTGAGGAGCACGAGGGAGAGGGATCCAACCCCCAGAGCTGCAGGAGAGCTGTGAAGAGCCTTTTGCTGTGGCGCAGCAGAGCCCTGCGAAACCTCAGCCCTGGCAGGCACAAGCAGTGCTGGAGCTGTGTGCTCCTCCGTGGGGACACAGCCAGAACCTCGTGTCCCTCAGGGGCAGCTGAAGCCCTGGCTGACCCCGGCCTGGGCACTCACCACGCCATTCTCCACACAGAAACCCAGCTGGTACTTGGAGTCGGGGCGGCGGATGACAGCTGTAGTGACAGGGGGACAGTGCACGATGTTCAGCGTCACCTCTGTCTGGTGCTTCAGCTCCTGGAAGATGGGATGGGGCTTTGTCAGACTTTGGAGAGCTATTTGAGAGGCGTGATGCCCTCACAGGAGGGCTGAGGATTAGCTGCTTGTTTTCACTGGGGAAACTGAGGCACTGAGGATACTGCCAGGCTCAAATTCAGAGAGAAGAACTTAGAAACCCTGTTCAAAACGTCCCCTTTTCCCCTGAGGCCACACTGTCCTTGCTTTCAGCTCCTTCCTGCCTGGGAGACAGGAGATGCAACAGGTTCCCTCCAGGACAGGCGCCTGCCTCCTCACCCACCCCTCTCCTCGGGGAGGGCCCTGCCTGCACCCCACCACAGCAGGTTTAGTCCCCAGCTTTGCTCCTGCCTCGTCACATCCCTTCCTCCCAACCACTCCGAGCAGGGACTGTCACAGCCCACAGGACGGGTATGGCCCCCCACACCCCTGCCCCCTCTGGCCCCCCACAGCCTCCTGTCACCCACCCGCCCCCGAGCTGGGAGCATCAGGAGAGACCCCAGCAGTACAGACACCCCCAGCTCACCCGGATGATGCTCTGGCAGGAGGTGAGGGGCAGCCCCACCAGGCTGGTCCCGTTGACGGACATGAGGCGGTCCCCGATGCTCAGCTCGCCTGACCTCTCCGCGGGGCCACCGTGCATCAGGTTGGCGATGACCACGGTGGGCAGGATGGAGCCCCAGCCTGACTCCACGATGGCGATGCCCAGGATCTCCCCCTTCTGCTTCCGGATGAAGACCTAGTGGGGGGAACAGATAGGGGGATGTGTCCCGATCCCAGCACAGCTGTCCTGGGCTCCCAGCCAGCTGGGATGGGGCACTGTTTTGTAGGGAGCAGCTCAGGGAGGGGACAACACAGAGGCACCAGCGGGTACCCCACACTGTCCCCACCCCTCCAACGCAGCTCTTACGTCCTTGCAGTTCTCCTGCCGGGAGAAGTGGGTCAGCTCTGCGTTGTATTGCTCCTGGTCCTCGAGGGCACGGCTGTACTGGCGAGGGCTCAGCTCACTGGGGTCGATGCTGTTGGCCTCCAGGAAGCGCTGGTAGGCCACCCCGAACGCCTGCCCGATGGCCTGAGCGATAACCTGGGCCTGGGGAAGGAAGGGTTGTTCGTGCCAATGGTCTCACGGCCAAACTGGAGGCAACAGCTGCCAGCACCCTGCAACGCCCAGCACTGGGAGCTCCAGGGCATCATGGCTCCTCCCCTGCCTGGACTGACCCCTTCATGGTGCCAATCCTCCCCCCTTTTCTGCTGGCCCCCTCTATGTGACAGAGGTGCCAAGAGTGGGCTCTTTCCCCCTCTCCGTGCGAGTCAGAGCACAGGGACCCAGAGCACCCCGGTGTTACAGCAGGACGGGGCCCAGGACCCCAGTGCCACCCTGCCCTCCCGAGGGACTGGTGTGTTGCCTCACGTCGGCCGAGTGGAAGACGTGGCAGATCATCTTGTAGAGCCGCTTCTCCTCTGCCACCTCCGAGCGCTGCGGCAGCTTCCGGCGCGCCATGAGCACCACGAGGGAGCCGATGTCGGCGATGTAGGAGATGGTCTGAAGGGAGTGATCCATCATGGCCTCCTGGCAAGGGGGACAAGGGCAGAGACGCTCAGCCCTCCCTGGGCCGATGGATCCCGTGGGCAGCCTGTGAGCCAGCCAGGCACCACTGTGCTGGGACACAGCCCCAAGGCCTGGCACACGCGGGGCAGAAACTACGCTAAAAGGTACAAACAGCTCCTTCCATCAAGTACTCATCATGTCCCTGGGTGCCGTCAGCGGACAAGGCAGCTCTTCCCTCCTACTGTAAAACAGCAACTAATCCTGAGGTAAAAAGCTCCAGAAGTTTCAAGCTTAGGTTTCCTGGAGCTCGGGCTGGGAACCCAGCAGTGCCCATGAGGCACAGTTTGCATGAGAAGCCTCGTGCAGCCACGCAGAGAGCCGAGGGACAGGACGTGCCTGCGTGGGATGGCTGCAGAGTGACATGTCTCCTCCCAGACACGTGTCCTTGCCCGTAGGCCATCCTTGGGCATGGCGCCACGGGCAACGCAGAGATCCCAAGGCCAAACAGGAAGGTTTCAGCAGCCCCAAAGCCACGTGGGTGCTCGTGTTCCCCACTCACCTGCGTGTCAGCCGTGAGCACCTTGATCCTTTGCGTGGAGACAAACAGATCCACCTCCGTCATGGGCTGGGACTCCCCCTCCGGTGCCTGCAGAACAAAGCACCCAGGAGAGGTCCCTCCTGCTGCCAGGACTCATCTGGGTCCCTGCCCCACAGCCAGGGGTCCTAAGCGCTGCCCCACGCCCACGGGCTGTGCCAGGCTGGTGGCAGTCGTGCCCCCCTACCCTCCTGCACCTTGATCCTGTCCACCGCCTCCTGCGCCTGCGCCATGCGGACACTGGTCGGGGGGTTCCTCTCCGAGACCAGCTGTGTGGAGCCCAGGTACTTTGCCCCAAAAATCACACCGTCCAGCAGATCCTCCGGGTCGCAAGGGCCTGGAACTGAGGCATTGGGAGGGACTAAGCAGGGGCTGGTCCCCCACCTCTGAGAACTGGGGGTACCAACCCCTGCTGCCCATTAGCTGCATTCCTACAACTGGCAGAGCGGCTCAGCATTTGGTGGACAGGCTCCTGCCGTCACCAAGAGACCACCTCTGACCCCAAGGCTGCTTCCCTCTGGGACACCCTGGCATCCCTCTTTCTCCCTTCCCAGGCCTGAACATCCCCCCCTACCTGATCCCTGGAGCATCCCCATTCACTCAGCTGGGATCCAACGAGCCACCTGGAGTCTGCAGCCACGTGGGCACATGGGTACAGAGCCTGGTGCTCCCCCCCGACTGGGACCCACGGCCACCCCGCTGCATTCGGAGTCAGAGCAGGAGGCGGGGGGTCAGGACTCCCACATACTTTTGCTGCTCAAGCATAGAAGCAACTCACCCTCTTTGAAGGCCGAGCAGGAGGACAGGGGTTCCCTGTTCTGCAAAGTGACAAGAGAGCAGGTGAGGCTTTGGCTGGGATCCCAGGGATTCAGCCTGCCTGTCCTGCAGCCAGGCTGCCCCTGGAGCTCCAGCAGTGTCCTCAGGCTGGGGGGGTCGGGGGGTGCACGGTCCTGGGGTCAGAGGCTGTTTGGACGCACCAGCCTCTTCCCCCGGGCACGCACAGCTCAGCCAGCCATGCAAGGATCCCCCCCGCGCTCAGGGCAGCAGGAGCCAAAGTCAGCACCGAGAGTCTTGTCTGGGCACCCCAGCAGCATGATGCCCTGTAAGACCCAAGGAAAAGACATCCCTGGCTCCTGTCTACCCCCACCCAAAACCCCACGAGGAAGCAGAGCCAAGAGGCACATCCTGGCTCGCTGTCGCAGCCTGTACGTGATGCACTCACAGTCACGCTGCCTTGGGGTGGCTGCTCTGCCTCTGGGGCTGGAGTGGGGGGCAGGGTCACCCAATCCGGCTCTGGGGAAGCATCCCGATGGCCCTCGCAGGTGGAGTCGACCTCGCAGAGCCCCTCTCGACAATACAAGGCACTGGAAGATCCCTTCTCTGAGCTCTCTGGCCTCTCCAGCACTTCAGGTGTCTCCACAGCAGCTGGTTCTTCCTGAGCCTGCAGCATCTCCAGGTTGGTCCCGGCCAGGATATCAGACCGTGCCAAGGGCGTCTCAGTGCTGGCCTCGGGCAGCCCCCCCTCGTAGCACAGGAGGCTCAGCAAGTCCTCCCGGTCGGCTTCGGCAAAGAGCAGGCCATGGCAGGGCCGGGAGCAAGCCGAGTGCTGGGCACAGCAGGGCCGTGTCTCTAAGCCCTGGCCTGTGGCCACATGCAGCGGGCAGGGCCGGCACTTGCCCTGGCACTGCCCATAGCTCTGCTGGGCCTGCTGTAGGGCCGGCAAAGGGGCTGTGCCAGCACTCGTGGAGGGCAGCGGGCCCTGCTCTGAAGCAGGTGAGTGGTCAGAGAGGTTGGAGTCAAGGGTCTGGAGCTGGGCCAGCAGGCCCTGGAGCTCCGAGGGTTCATCCTCTGCATCCTCATCCAGCTCCATGCCCGTCAGGTCGCCACTGCTGGGGTCTCGGGGGTGTCCTGTGCCTCGAGAGGTGCTTCTGGCACTGGGTTTCCAGCCAGCAGAGTCCCGTGGCCCTGCAGCCCCCGCCTCGTCGTCTGTCTCTCTGCCCAAATCCCGGCAGAGCTCGTCTCGTCCACCCGCACCCCCTCCGGGCTCCGAGGCTGAAGCAGGGCCCGAGCCGGGCCCCAGAGCCCTCCGCTGGCCCTCGGGGGCGGGCAGGTCCCGCCCGGAGCCGCAGTTAGGGCTCAGTGTGACGAGGCGAGGCTCCTCCTGCTGCCCGACACCCACCCGGGGCGCAGGGGCGTCAGGCCGCACCGCGGGCCCTTCCTCCGTGTCCATGGCCGGCGGCTCCGGGGCCTCGTCACCGCCGGCACCGGGGGGGGTGGGCGCAGCCGCCTGGAAATCCATGCTGCTCTCCATGGCCTGGCTCCGGCCCGGGGGCGCCAGGGCCAACCCCACCGGCGCCGGCTCCTCTCCCCGGGCCGGGCAGACGCTGTCGCCGCCACCACCGCCCCGGGAGGGGACGGTTCCACCGCTTCTGCTTCCGCTTCCGCCTCCGCTTCCGGGCGCCGCCGCCGCCGCGCACGCGCAGTGC